CCAGAAGCCTGTTTGACATGCCTGATGTAGATGGTGGAATGAGCTTTGTGGGCACAACCCACTTCCACCCACGAAAGCTCATGATACCATCTACATAAGGGGTGGGCAATAATTTTTGCCCAGAGGCCACTTAAAAATTTTTCAAAGTAGCCCTGGGGTCACCACAGAAGGGGCAGGGCCTAAACAGGAAGGGGTGGGGCTATCCAAACAATGATTGGTCTGGGGTGGGGGAGCCCCTTTGCCCCCTCCTTCCCACTAGGCACCCATGTCTCTTATAGGGCAGGAGGCGGCTTCAAGCGCTCCCAATCAGGGCTTGAGGGTGGGGGAGCGCAGGAAGCCTCCTCCTGCCTTGTGAGGAGTATGTGGCACTTGGAAGCGCCGCGTGCTGCTTGCAGGGCAGCGGCAGAGCAGAGAAAGCTTCATGTGCTCCCCCGCCCCCAAACCCTAATTGGCCTGGGGTGGGGGAGCAGCAGGGCCTCCACAGACCAGATACAACTCATGGAGGCCCTTTTGCCTGCCCTTGATCTACATGTTTTGTTAGTCTTTAAAGTACTACTAGACTTTTTTGTTGTTTAAGTTTTTCCTGTTACAGACTAACTCGGCTACCCCTTTGAAGCTTATAAAAAAAGGTTCTATACTAAACCATTCCTCTTTTCCTCCCTGTTTCCTTTCTCCTTTGGCAGTTGGGCAGTAAGGAGTTTTGGTAAAAATGTATCAGACATGCACACAGTGCCCGCTCTACCTCAGCTGGTGCTGGTTAATCAGAGCCTCAATTCTAAAGGAGTTGGCATTACTGAAGTGATAGATCACCCCACGTTTTGTTGCAGATTTTCCATCTCCCAGTCATAGCAAAGACTTGGGATTAACATGGCTCTCTCAACTAAAAGTCTTATACGTTTTCCGATGTTGTGATTGTGAACACCTGGAGAGGCAGTCTGCTCAAGGCAAAGTTGGCCTTGAATCTTGATATCTATGGCTTCAGTTGAATGGCTTGTGTGAAATTTGGAAGAGCAGCTCAGAGAGACCTCTCTCCTTTACTTAAGGATAGAATCTCATGGCAGCCTGAAGGAAAAAGTCCTCATGGCAGACAAAGCCATGCTTGCAGGGTATCCTCAGCCTTAGGCTACTTATTGCTTCAAGTGCCTTCAAGAAAGTGAGGGTGATTCTTGTGTTGTGTGTTAGTTTTATTTAAAAGTTTTCAGGGTGTTATTTTAACAGGTAAATTAATCTCTTACATTCATAACTCATGTAGTTTTTTGCTGTGCGATAATGTGAAAAACAATTAGGTTAACTAGGTAAGTAAATGGGCAGTTAGGAAGCATTACAGATTGCTTACAATAAATGTATTAGGTATCTTGTTAGTCTTTAAAGTGCTACATAACTTTTTTCTTTTTGTTTTACCAAGATCAGACTAACAAGGCTACCGCTCTAGTACAATAAATTTGATATGCTCAAAATCTTTTTTTACTCTTTATTCATTAAAGCAATGGGTTCCTCATTGCTATAACAGTGGTTTTAAATGCCTGAATGGAGTGATGAAATTCATATTTAGGTTGTATAACTAACGCCTCTCGTGTTTTATAAAACGTACATATTTAAGAATTTGACATTTTTTATGTAAAAGACATGAAGCTAATGAGAATGGGATATGAACAAATTAAAGAGAAAAAATATTTAACAGAATGTAAACCACAAAACTATATAATTTATATTTCTGTAGTTAGTAAAGTAAGTAATCCATTAAATAATAAATATCTAAGAGGTGGATTATTTACAGTGGTGTAATGAGGAGGGGGCAGCGGGAAAGTGCCACACTAGTGAGGTGCCAGTATAGTCCCCCTACACTCTCCCTGTCATCCCTCTGCTTGCCTGCTCCTCCTCTGCCTGCTGCCACCGGCTGGAGCTACCTCCTTCCTGCACCTCTGCCCCCAGCCCAACCCCCTCCACCTCTACCAGAGGGTTAGTGTGTGGGGGACCCAGCCTCAAACTGGAGGGGATCGGGTAAGATGCAGTACAAGGTCCCCCCACTCCTTCCAGGGACAGGCTCAGCTATGCACCAGATTCGGGGCCCCACCATTTGGTAGGGGTGGGAGTGAGGGGAAGGGGCCTGCCAATTTTACCCTGGCTACGCCTCTTGTTCGCTTTGGTGCCGGATCCTGGGGTGGTAATGGCTGGTACTGTTGAGGCGGCTTTATGTCTCAGCTTCAGGTCTGCCTGCTTCTGTGCCATCAACACCAATGCTGAGGCAGTGCCAGAGGCATCTGGTTTGTTAGTAGTGCTGATTCTGATGAAGCTCAGCACCGCAGGCAAAGATCGGGTGGGAGGAGGTGTGCTTCTGCAAAGTGGTAGAAGACTGAGGCTTGTCTTTATCTTTCGGACCAATCTTGTCTGAAGTAGCAGGGTCCTCACCTGAAGTGATTTCTCCAGCACAATCATTTTTATGTGGAATTCTCTGTCATGCGTAGTTCTGGCCTTTAAATTGGCACAATGAGGGCACTTGAATGGAACAAAGCCCTCTCCAAGGCATTTGACACAGGATGAATGTCTGTCAGAAGCGAGCATTAGGTCCTTACATGTATCACGTCTTTTAAATCTTAGTGAACTGGGTATTGTGGGTGTTCCAAGGGTTGACAAAAAATAGTGTGCCCTTGTAGCCAAGAAGGCTAATGGCATATTAGGTTGCATTAAGAGGAGCATTGCCAGCAGATCCAGAGATGTCATTATTCCCCTTTATTCGGCTTTGGTGAGGCCACATCTGCAGTATTGTGTCCAGTTCTGGGCCCCCCACTACAAAAAGGATGTGGACGCATTGGAGAGGGTCCAGCGGAGGGCAACCAAAATGATTAGGGGGCTGGACCATATGACTTATGAGGAGAGGCTGAGGGACTTGGGTCTGTTTAGTCTGCAGAAGCGAAGAATGAGGGGGGATTTGATAGCAGCCTTCAACTTCCTGAAGAGAGGTTCCAAAGAGGATGGAGAGAGGCTGTGCTCAGTAGTGACAGATGGCAGAACAAGGAGCAATGGGCTCAAGTTGCGGTGGGAGAGGTCCAGGTTGGATATTAGGAAAAACTATTTCACTAGGAGGGTGGTGAAGCATTGGAATGGGTTACCTAGGGAAGTAGTGGAGTCTCCATCCCTAGAGGTGTTTAAGTCTCAGCTTGACAAAGCCCTGGCCGGGTTGATTTAGTTGGAATTGGTCCTGCCTAGAGCAGGGGGCTGGACTTAATGACCTTCTGAGGTCTCTTCCAGCTCTATGATTCTATGATAGGGGAGCAGGGGTCCAACAGGCAGGAAAGGCTCCAAACAAAAAATATTTCCATTTTTTAAGGAAAAAAGGGATTGGTTAAAACTGGGGTGAAGGGAATTCAAGGTTTCTAACTATTGTTGTTTTCTGTATGTAAGAAGGTGTCTGTGTGGAGCTCCATCTGCTGTCGAGGACAATAGAGAAGGAACTGAGGGAGCAACACTGAGTGCACAGTCAAGCGCCAACGGCACCACAGACTGAGCATGTGTGGCACAACAGAGTATTGCTATGAAAAGTCTCTGAGCACCAGCATAAAGATGCACCAGCACCTAAAGTGGAGCACAGTCTCCATTTGCTAAAAAACTAATATTCTGTTTGCTTTCATTCCTTGGGACTCAACTTTTAATTGCCTGTACTGAACTTGTTCAAGTTGAACTGGGTCCTAAGTCAATATCCTATTGGGTTTCAGGAGGTTGGGAGGTTTAAGCCTGTCCACTGCTAAAGGACCTTTCCCCAGCCTATGTGGAGGATCCATGGGTCCAGAACTCAACTAATTACAGAGGACAATAATCAAGTAGACATTTTTCATTCTTACCCATCTGTCTCTTGAGGATGATCTAGTTTGAATAAGTTCCATATTTTTGCAAGCAAGCAAGCGACTCCGAACTTTATACACACAGCGATATACTTCCGCCAGGGCTTTGCCTGGCTGATATCTACAAAGAGTCATAACAGAAAAATCACAGAAAGCTTAATAACAAAAGAAAGTCAAGATTTAAACACGGTTTCAAGTTACTTGCCTGCTCTCACCACATGCTTGACTCAGTAAATTTGTGTGTTTCAGAAGAGCTGCCAGAACAAATCTAGATACTGTGTCCAAGAGTGACTCATTACTTAAGGTAGCACTGTCCCAATCTGAAAATTAAAAAAAAGTTACAATTTACTGGAATTTCCAAAAATTAACTGACTACATTTTAAATCAACATCAGTTACAAAATTACATAAAATCTTCCTGCTGCTAGACTTTTTGCTCATTTATAAATAGATTTAATGATTATGACATAAATTAAGAGTACTGATTAAGACAACACACAATGTAACAAACAAGAGTGGATTAAAACAAAATCCTTAAAAACGCCAATGAAATTTTAAATAAATCATGTTAATTATAGCATCGTTTGCTTAAATGAACTGCTAAGAACTAACTGAAATGAATGTTGACAGACTTTAAATATACTTCAAAAAGGAGCTTTCCAGGTATACACCTTTCATTATTCTTTACTTAGTTTTCTATCAGAACATTATGAAAATATAGTTTTACTTCTTAATAACGTACGTAAAGACTGTTTGCAGTGGTGTTGTAGCTGGGTGGCCCCAGGATATTAGAGAGAGGGTGGTGAAGCCCTGGAATGGGTTACCACCTAGGGAAGTGGTGGAATCTCCATCCCTAGAGGTTTTTAAGTCTTGGCTTGACAAAGCCCTGGCTCGGTTGATTTAGTTGGGATTGGTTGGCCAGGGGGCTGGATTTGATGACCTCCTGAGGTTTCTTCCAGCTCTATGATTATATGAGCAGGGCTCGACAAATGATTCACCCGTGGCAAGTAGATTTTAAGGCGGCAGGGCAGCGCATCGTGGTCAGCGCATGCATAGCGTGTGCAGCCCCTTCTCCACCCCAGTGGTCGACTCAGGGCTGGAGATGCCCATCGTCACCCGCCGAGGGAGCAGAACCAGTTGTGGGGAGGAGGAGGACCCAGACACGGCCAGCACAATCACCATGGTGACCCTGAAGCTGCTACTCCACAGCCTGGATGTGCCCCAGGCATCCTCCGAGGCCAGAGAAAGAACATGAGGTAAGTGAGATTAGTTACTGACAGGGTAGAGGTGGTGGGTGGCATGGGGCTGGGGCACACTCCTCCCGGGACCTTCTCGGCCTGGGGATTGTGCTGCAGTCTGTGCACATGGATGCACATACAGCGCCAGTCTGGGCCACGCAGCATATGCTTAATTACAGTCCATAAAATTATAAGGGAAGCTTTCCTGAATTAAGACCTTACCGAGGACTGCACAAATGTTAATGTGTTTGAGTGAAATTCCCACCCATGAAAAGCTTCAATATTGTTGCAGGCCTTCTGGGTTCCCCCCCAAAAAAACTTTTTGCAACATTTTCACAAAAATGTCTATTTTCACATCATAAGAACTTAAGAATGGGTCAGACCAAAGGTCCATTTAGCCCAATATCCTGTCTGCGAACAGTGGCAAATACCAGATGTCCCAGAGGGAGGGAACACAACAGGTAATCATCATTGGATCCCTCTTCTGTCACCCATTTCCAGACAAACAGAGGCTAGGGACACCTTTCCTGCCCATCCTGGCTAATAGCCATTGATGGATCTGCCCTCCATGAATTTATCTAGCTCTTTTCGGAACCCTGTTAAAGTCCTAGTCTTCACAACATCCTCTGGCAAGGTGTTCCACAAGTTAACTGTGCACTGAGTGAAGAATATCTTCCTTTTGTTTGTTTTAAACCTGCTACCCATTAATTTCATTTAGTGACCCCATGTTCTTTTATTATGGAAACAAGTAAATAACTTTTCCTTATTCACTTTTTTCACCAGTCATGATTTTATGACTCCGTCATATCTCCCGTCTCCTCTTTTCTAAGATGAAAAGTCAAAGTCTTTTTAATCTCTCTTCATATGGGATCTGTTTCAAACTCCTAATAACTTTTTTTGTCCTTTTCTGAACCTTTTCCAGTACCAATATATCTTTTTTGGGATGAGGTGACCACACCTGTACAAAGTATTCAAGATGTGGGCATACCATGGTTTTATACAGATGCAGTAAGGTGTTTTCTGTCTTATTCTCTATCCCTTTTTTAATTATTCCCAACATTGTTTGCTTTTTTGACTACCGCTGCACATTGAGTAGATGTTTTCATCCACAATGACTTCAAGATCTCTCTGTGTAGTTGTAGCTAAATTAGTCCCCATCATATTATATGTATAGTTGGGATTATTTTTTTCCCAAAGTGCATTACATTTCATTTATCAACATTAGATTTCATTTGCCATTTTCATTTGCCAATCACTTAGTATTGTGGGATCTTTCTGAAGCTCTTCACAGTCTGTTTTGTTTTTTTTAACTATCTTGAGCACATTAGTATCATCTGCAAATTTTGCCACCTCACTGTTTACCTCTTTCTCCAGATCATTTACAAATAGGTTCAATAGGATTGGCCCCAGTAGGGACTCTTGGGGGACACCACTAGTTACCTCTCCATTCTGAAAACTTACCATTTATTCCTACTTTTTGTTTCCTGTCTTTTAAAATCAAAGTGACATTTCATAAATTTAAAAAGTTAATTTTAAACTTAAAAAGAAAGCCATGAAGTGAATTGCCTGGTTTTGCTACAAAATAATCCTACCAACAAGCAAATTCAATAAAATCTAATGTGTTTTTCATAGAAGTGGATCAGTTCCACAGAATCAAAAAATGTATAAGCCACATATGAACAATACTGATTTCCTAGCAAAAAAAAAAATATATATATATATACACACACACACATACACACACACACACACACACACACACTTTCAATATTAAAAGTAAAACTAATCTACAAAAGAAAATGTTCATACAGTAATTCCTCATTTAACACTATAGATATGTTTCAGAAAATGATCGTGTTAAGTGAAAACGTGTTATGCAGGGTCAATTTTCCCATTGAAAATAATGGAAAAGTGTGGGTTGCGTTTCAAGCGGTGGTGTCTGTTGGGACGAGGACATAAGGTTGGGGGAGAAAGAGGACTGGGACTGAGTTACAGCAGGGACGGGAGTGTTTGGCTCTGGGGAAGGGAAGGGGCTGAGAGGGGAGGGGGATTGGGTTGGGAGTATGTCACTGTGACAGGTCTGCCGGGACCTGCACTGCATCCGGCGTGGGTGGCATCGTCGGGGAATGGCGCAGCGAGCGGCGAACCCTCCACCGCTTTGCAGAGAGGCGGGGGAAGCCCTGCACAGCCACTGGCGATGGGCCTGCTGGGGAAACCCACCCACCGGCCTGCAAGCAGGGGTGGAGGAGAGGGGGCAAGGCGTCCGGCGAGGGGGAGTCAGTGGTGAAAGGCACAGCGTGAGGCAAACCCTCCGCCGCTTTGCAGGGAGGCAGGGGAAGCCCCGCGCAACCGCTGGCAACGGCCGGCTGGGAAAATCGTGTTATTCTGGGGACAGTCGTGTAATTCAAAAAATGTTCCTCCCCCCCAAAAAAAATCGTGCTATCGCGAAAACATGTTAAGCAGGCACGTGTTAAATGAGGAGTTACTGTATGTCTATTTGGAAATGAAATATAACCACCACCACCTTCTTCACAGTGAGGGCCCTACCAAATTCACAGCTGTTAAAAATACATTAGACAGTGAAATAGGATCATAGCCATAAAGTATGCTAGTCTGTGAAATTGACCAAAATGAATTTCATAGGAATGTTATATACAGATATGAAACCAAAGCAGCCTTTTTGGATCTCAAACCTTACGCTCAGGGACTAGAGTTTTCTATAACCACGGAATTCACATCTTGCTGATGACTCATGATTCCAAGTCTTTTATTTTTAAAAATAATGATTCTAGCCATTAATGTTACAATGCTATAGCCTTGAAAATGTGAAATAAGCCTGGCTTAACTGAGTCTGCAGACAACCTAAAAGAACAGAAGTGGCACAAAGTGACAAATCATGGGAGAACCCCATGGATTCCAAGCTCAGGAATTTGTTTTCCAAGACACCTTGGAATTCTGCTTCAACTGTTTCAATCATATTCTCCATTTTGCTGTAAGCTGTTGCCCAATATGTTGTTCTGTCCCCTTTCCCAACATGCCTTTGACTGCAACTGCCTCTTTCTCCAGCTTTCTTCACAAGAGTGTTATTGGATGACAGCATACTCAATGTATTGTCCCATGCAGCTATTTGACAGGAGAACTGGGGAGCTGGAAATGGAGTGCAATTTACAACCACTGAATAAGGACACTCAGAAATGTATGATAGTAAGGTAAGCAATACAGAAGATCAAAAAAGTGCTACTTTTTTGTGAAAAGATTTGTGGGTTATGTGTTCCTGTTTTTTCTTTAAAAAAATTGAAATAAAAATTTCATTGACCTGTTCTACTAGAAGAATTAGATTCATTTTATAACAATGCTTACTACCAAATACAATCCTTCGCTGTGTGTTTGTATGTCTGAATTGCATAGGATTACAGGTAACCGAAATTATGTTGCCATAGAATTTAGAGATGTAGCCGGGCAACAAGGCTAATAATCTGAGCACTGCAATGTAATTATTCTGCACATATTGTTATCTTCCAGATTTATACGACATGCAGAAGTCTCCTACTTTTGTTTTCATCATCTTACCTTTACTAATAGCATAGTCTTGCATACTAAGCCAGAGACTACGGGCTGGCTCTTTTGTACAACCTAAGGCCAAATCAACAAAGACACCGATCTCCGGTCGCAGCTTATAATCAAATGGCTTCTGTTCTTCATTTCCAGAGAGGGCCACTTCCAACAGGGAACTCATGCATTTGTCTATAGGGAAATATTTAGGTTTTAGATTCTGTTGATTTTGATAAGCACATACATTGACTTTTTGCAAGCTACTGAAGAGGTACAGAAAGGACATCCCAATGATCACTTCACAACACAAGGAAAAGCCCTATAACCGATGCTCTTTCTACTCCTCAGGACAAGGAATCTCCCTGTCCACAAGTATAAAGTGACCATTCCCACACTCAATGCCATTGCTCAGTATCAGGACTCCTGCCCCTCCATATATTGAACAGAATATATCCAGAAAGAAGAGTGACAGCCATCCCATAACTGCATAAAATTTCTACACTTGTTACCCCTACTGCTGTAACATCATATAGTTATTCTGAATTTTTACTTTATTACTTTCCTTTAATAAATTATGTACAAGGAAGATTATCCTTTTGGACAGTAAATATGAATAAGTGCATTCTTTGCTTCATTTTTTGTTTCTTTAACAAAAATAAGTTTCAAATTGAAATGATACAACTCAGTGAAAAAAGCAAGCTTGTTATTTTTTCTTTGAAATCTGAAAGTTGATTTTTCTGTTTATAAATATCAACGCCCCTACATATCAAGGATGCTCTAGACGGTGCTTGGTCCTGCCGTGAGGGCAGGGGACTGTATTTAATTATCTCTTGAGGCCCCTTCCAGTTCTAGTATTTTATGATATGGTACAATTTAGATTTACTTATAAACATCCAATTTCCTACTTATTCATGTTAAGATGAAGACATCAATGTTTAAATGGCAAACCATATAACAAAGATCTTCCTGAACCTGTTTAGACATTTCAGAACTAAGCCTAATGATTTACTATATTTTGGGTGAAATGTCATTTATGCTCATTTAGCTAGGATCTCCTTAAAGGGGAAGGAGGGAAGGTATACCAAAAAAATATATAAATTATTTCTTAAATGAAATATAAAGGATTCCACATTAAATCAAATCTTACTAAGTATATAGGCAATTTAATATAACAAAAAAATGTACAGCGCTTAACTGGTGGAAAAGTTATGTCAAAAGTTTAGAATGCATAATGGTAACTATTTGCCAATTTTATTCTTTTCTTCCTCCTTTCCACCCATTCCCAGGAATACACATGATGTGACTTGCTTCTTCTAGCCAAAATCATCCTACTAACATGGTGTTAGGGTCTACCACTATTTTAAGTACAAGTATTTCCCAAGGCTGCTTAAACCAAGTGTAACAAACTCTACTTAAAATTGCATCACCTACACAGGGATTCCTAATATTGCTAACAATCTCTGGGAGGGACTTCAAGACAGCTAAAAAATTTTTCATGAAGGCTGGAAAGCAAAGATCTAGATCTCCTCCTGTCTATTCTTCTAGCGTCTCCAAAAGTTTGAGAGGATAGCAATACAGTGGTTCAAAACTGTGGTAATTTTTAAACAGCAATCATGAAAAATTATAAAAACCTACATACAATTATAAAAACCTACATACAGGAAGTTTACATTTAACAATTAAACAAATTACCTAAATGAGGCATATCCATTTCCATTCCATCACTGAACAGTGGCGTTTTTAACCAATAGGCTGTATCTTGTTCTTCAGAGGAAATATGGGATCCCTGAAGCATTCCACCAAGACAGCGCCCAATAAGTAGAGCAACAGTTCTCTCTAGATCAACAAGCCATACCCAAGATTGGGCAGGTTGTGGTAAGGGCACTCCAGCAGGATCAATTAGTTCAGGTCCGCCTAAAGCATTATAAATAATTATTCAAAATGGATTTAATTTTCAATTCTGAAAAACAGACTGATACAAAATTTAATAATCTGACAATTTATTTCTTTGATAAAGGGCATACATATATTGTTGTCCTCGGGTAACTTATTGGGAGGCAAATATTTTAGATTTGATCATTCTCTTTGGAGCTATCCAATTACTTTATCCCCAACCTTCCTTGTACAGGAAAGATGGTTCAAAATACAGTAATTCCTCATTTAACACTATAGATATGTTTCAGAAAATGATCGTGTTAAGTGAAAACGTGTTATGGAGGGTCAATTTTCCCATTGAAAATAATGGAAAAGGTGGGGGTTGAGTTTCAAGCAATGGTGTCTTTTGGGACCGGGACATAAGGTTGGGGGAGGAAGGGGACTGGGTTACAGCAGGGAGGGTAGGTGTTTGGCTCTGGGGAAGGGAAGGAGAGGTGAGGGGAGGGGGACTGGGTTGGGAGTTGCCTCTGTGACAGGTCTGCCGGGCCCCGCACTGCATCCGGCGAGGGGGTGTCACCGGAGAACAGCGCAGTGAGCAGCGAACCCTCAGCGGTTTTGCAGGGAGGCGGGGGAAGCCCCGCACAGCCGCTGGCAATGGGCTGGCTGGGGAAATCATGTTATTCCGGGGACGGTTGTGTAATTCAAAAAACGTTCCCTAAAAAAAAAAATCAAGCTATTGCGAAAACGTGTTAAGCGGGAACGTGTTCAATGAGGAATTACTGTACTGTAGCTTTACTATCATCTTTTCAATTATGCACTTCAGAATTTTGGGGTTGGATTCTAGTGAGTGCCAGTACAAAAGCCTTTTTGAATTCCACTAGTAAATCTGTTTCATAATGGCCTTCCAATTTTATAAGTAACTAATTTCAAAGTACCGATAAAACTCCTTTTGCTTCTTAGCCACTTTATTTACCTTAACAGTCCAGAAGATACTCTTCTTAGAATTACTTTTGGGGTGTTTATTGTGAAGATATTTTGTGTGTTTGTGACATTTAAAAAAAATATTGTATCCATGTCATCTTCTTCACCCCCCATACATGAATGAATTTCCACAAAGTTGTCACTTCCACTGCTTCCTACAACTTTGTCCCATATTCTATTATTCACAATTTATTTTAAAAAATGCTTTAGCAAAACTTGTGTCACATGTTACAAAAAGCATTCCTCCAAAAAGCAGTAAACGTTTTCTCAGGGTCACAAATAGCTAATTTAGCACCTGAGGCAAGACTGTCCTCGGCGCAGGCAGGGGTTCTAATGTGGTGCGAGGCATGAGCAAAGACAGCATAGTAGCTGTCTTTTCTGTGCCCCCTCAGCTATGTTTCCAAGGAAAGTGCCTCACTCGCCTCGTTTTTGTTACAGCTCTGCATTGTCATAACTCAGTGACTTGCAAATATCTTTAACAATTCCTCATCCCCAAACTCCTGCTATTTCCGCCATTTTATATTTTGGAAGGAGTATAAATATTTGACTGTATTCATTCAGTAAAAAGTTAAAGTTATTTTTATCATGCTCCATAACAGAAAGCATTAATAATACTGAAAGTCTTGGTAGTATTCTATATAAAAGCACACAAGAAATAACATTTTACAACAAAAGCAAAACATTTCCATGCACGACAGTATTTTGGGCCTAATCCCGAATTCCTTGGGTGCCTCACACACCCACTGAAGAAAAAGGAATTATAGACACGCAGGAACAAGCAATTTATTTATAGTTCAAAAAAATTTACGGCAAGGTATGTTAAGTTTTAAAGAGTATGGGGGATGGATACAGAGATATATGAGATTAAAAGGACACAAAATAAACACTTTCCAATTTACAGATCATAGTTACCTATTCTATTCTCACTTTCAATTTCCTTCTTTTTCACATAAAAAATGTTACTTACCATGAAGCGGCCACTGTAATTCCTGATCTTCTAATAGTGCAGCAGCGGGCAATAGTCTATTAAGGCGATCAATGGGTGGCAACAGATCTAGCAGATAACTCAATAAAGGCCGAGCCACGGACACAGGCAGTAACAGCAATGAGTTAACAATCTGGCACAGCATACTGCCAGCTGCAGATACATAAATTACATCTACAAGCAAAAAAAAAAAGAAGAAAAAAAAAGAGGCCATGTGTGTTTGTATCAAACAAATGACTTTGCTTTTTAAATTCAGGATCTAAAATGTCTTTAAATATGAAATACCGGTAATTCAAGATCGTCCTTTCGTATTTAAATTGCTTTGGTAAGTCTTTAAAAAGTCTAAATATTCTATATGATGTGAAATAGTAAAATGTCCTGTGAAAATAACCTTAAAAGTGTTTTTCAAAAGCACGTTTTATTATGTTTACAGAAAACTATGCTGCATGCAAAATCTTAATCCAAAATGTACCTGTGTTGGCGGTTTTGTTTAAAATACACCACTTTATAAAATATTTTTAAACTTGTCCACTGTTGTGACCACTACAACTAGCATAACTAAAGGTGACTAGCCCATAAAAATTATCCTTCACTTTATCTACGTGTTTACTTAACATACAATGTCCTATCATATGTACAATCAGTTTGACTGCTGCATCTGTACAATTTGTCAATTTTACGTTTAAGCTGGTTTTGCCTGCTCTAGCAACAAGGTCCAAAAAAGCATTTTAAATGTATTGGAATATAAACAAATATGAATTGTGAAGGGAACCCTGAAGTTGTTGTGGTACCTCAAGTTACTTTAAACTTTTTTAATTAGTATATTTCAAGTGTGTGGTATCTATTTAAATTTGATTTTGTTAGCAATATATACCTCTTAGTTTTTCCCCAACACTGCCATTCCAAGAACTTTCCTTAAGAAGAGTTGCAGAACGTGAATAGATATCTGTAGCATGAGGCAGTAAAAGCTGGAGATGTTTATGTAGCAGTGCCACACTGCTAGAATTCTGGAAACAAGAGAAACTACTTATAACAAAATAATACAAATGTACTTTAGAAGGTTGTATCACATATTAAACTAACTTACAAATACACATTATTCTAATCTTATCCTATAAAGATGCTCACACACTGAAGAGGAGTTATATTATATTTCCAGAAGGTATGACCAAAAAACCATGTACCTCACTAACACTGTTGATATGACAATAAGCCAGCAATTGTTTCTGCAGTGAACACAACAGCTCATGAAGATGAGCAGGTTGGCTGTTTTCAGATGATGATGTCCCAAGTAAAAACTTATCACTATTCTTTTCCAATTCTCCGAAGGCTTGATCCTAATTAGACAAAAGGAATAATCATTCATTGTATGTTTTCAAATATTATAATATTATAATTTACCTTGCATTGCTCGGGATTCTTCAGGGTAGGGGGGCCTCAGGAGTTAGGGTTTGAGGATGAGGAGGGTCTCGGGAGGGGACGGTTGGTGTCAGGGGTGCAGCAGTCAGGTCTGGGATTAAGGAGGGACTCAGGGTAGGAGGCTGGGGGTATATGGGGTGCAGGAGTCAGGATGGGGAGTGACAAGAGGGTTCAGAGCTACGGGGTGTGTGTGCTGGAGTCAGGGTATAGGAGTGAGGAGGGGCTCAGGACGGGGCGCTGGGGATATTCAGGAGCCAGTGCGGGCCGTGCTGGCAGGGGTTCCCCAGGGCTTGTTGCAATGGAGCCATGCTGGCCAAAAGTGGGCAGGAAGCTTACATGCACCCCCGTTGCTCCAGTGGAGTTATAGCAGTCCTAGTCCCCATCTCTGGCCCCTTGCTGCCCCACTGTGATCATTCTGTCCCTGCTAGTAGCCCCCTCTATTTCCACGTTATGAAAAACAAATTGAATTCCAGGCACATCCTAGTGTCCTGATGCAACCAAACCCTTACTTTGCTTTCAGTTATGCTAAGAGGAGGCTGCATGTCAAATTTGGCGCTCCTAGCCCTTGCCATTTAGGAGGAGTCCTTGAACAGCCTTGCTCACAAACAAATTCTCTCAAATATATAGTATTACAATAGTACTAGTAAATAGTAGAATATATAGTATTATAGAAGCAGTGATCAGGAGATGGTAGATTTCAGGATCCTGACAAAAGGAAGAAAGGAGAGTAGCAAAATACACACCCGGGACTTCAGAAAAGCAAACTCTGACTCCCTCAGAGAACGGATGGTAACATGAAGGGGGAAAAAGTCCAGAAGAAGCCTTATTAAAGGCATAGGAAAAAACCCACCCGACGCGCAGCAAGAAAAGCAAATATAGTAGGCGACTAGATTGGCTTACCAGCGAAATCCTTGGAGAGTTAACACAAAATCCTTGGAGAGTTAACACAAAAAGGAAGCTTATAGGAAGTGGAAACTTGGACAGATGACAAAGTAGGAGCATAAATATACTGCTCGAAAATGCAGGGGAGTAATCAGGAAGGCGAAAGCAATATTGGAATTGCAGCTAGCAAGGAATGTGAAGGGTAATAAGAAAGGTTTCTACAGGCATGTTAGCAATAAGAATGATCAGAGAGGGTGTGGGGCCCTTACTTAAGGAGGAGCATAAATATACTGCTCGAAAATGCAGGGGAGTAATCAGGAAGGCGAAAGCAATATTGGAATTGCAGCTAGCAAGGGATGTGAAGGGTAATAAGAAAGGTTTCTACAGGCATGTTAGCAATAAGAATGATCAGAGAGGGTGTGGGGCCCTTACTAGATGAGGGAAGTAACCTAGTGAAACATGATGTGGGAAAAGCTCAAGTACTCAATGCTTTCTTTGCCTCTGTCTTCACAGAGAAGGTCAGTTCAGTATGGGAAGGAGGTGGGCGGCCCTCGGAGAAAGAACAAAGAACAGGTTAAGAACTATTTAGAAAAGCTAGACATACACAAATCCATGGGTCCGGATTTAACGCATCCAAGGGTACTGAGGGAGTTGGCAAATGTCATTGTGGAGCCTTTGGCCGTTATCTTTGAAAACTCATGGAGATCGGGAGAGAATCCCGATGATCGGAAAAAGGCAAATGTAGTGCCCATCTTTTAAAAAGGGAAGGAGGACAATCCAGGGAACTACAGACCAGTCAGCCTTACATCAGTCCCCGGAAAAATCATGGAGGGGATCCTCACGGAATCCATTTTGAAGCACTTGGAAGAGGGGAAAGTGATCAGGAATAGTCAACATGGATTCACTAAGGGCAAGTCGTGCCTGACCAATCTGATTAGTTTCTATGATGAGGTAACTATCTCGGTGGACATGGGGAAGTCAGTGGATGTGATATATCTTGACTTTAGAAAAGCTTTTGATACGGTCTCCCACAATATTCTTGCCAGCAAGTTAAGGGAATATGGATTGGATAAATGGACGGTAAGATGGACAGAAAGCTGGCTAGGTTGTCGGACCCAATGGGTAGCGATCAACAGCTCGATGTCAGGTTGGCAGTCAGTTTCAAGTAGAGTGCCCCAAGGATCAGTTGTAGGGCCATTTTTGTTCAACATCTTTATTAACGACCAGATGAGGGGATGGATTAGACCCTAAGTAAATTTGTGGATAATACTAAGCTAGAGGGAGAAGTAGATACGTTGGAGGGCAGGGATAGGGTCCAGAGTGATCTGGACAGATTAGACGATTGGGCCAAAAGAAATCTGATAAGGTTTAACAAGGACCAGTGTAGAGTCCTGCACTTGGGATGGAAGAATCCTAAGCATTGTCACAGGCTGGGGACCAAATGGCTAAGTTGCAGTTCCGCAGAAAAGGACCTAGGGATTACAGTGGATAAGAAGCTAGATTTGAGTCAACAGTGTGTCCTTGTAGCTAAGACGACGAATGGAATATTAGGTTGCATTAGGAGGAGCATTGCCAGGGATCTAGAGAAGTAATTATTCCTCTTTATTCTGCTCTGGTGAGGACACATCTGGAGTACTGCGTCCAGTTCTGGGCCCCCCACTATAGAAAGGATGTGGATGCACTGGAAAGCATCCAGTGGAGGGCAACCAAAATGAGATGTATGAGAAGAGGCTGAGGGATTTGGCTTATTTAGTGTGCAGAAGAGAAGAGAGGGAGGATTTCATAGCAGCATTCAACTTCCTGAAGGGAGATTCCAAAGAGGATGGAGAGAGTGATGGATGGCAGAACAAGGAGCAATGATCCCAAGTTACAGTGTGTGTGTGTAGGGGGGGGGTCTAGGTTGGCTATTAGGAAAAGCTATTTCACTAGGAGGGTGGAGAAGCACTGGAATGGGTTACCTAGGGAGGTGGTGGAATCTCCATCTCTAGAGGTTTTTAAGTCTCGGCTTGACAAAGCTCTGGCTGGGATGATTAAGTAGGTTTGGTCCTGCTATGGGCAGGGGGTTGGACTCAACCTCCTGAAGTCTCTTCCAGCCCTATGAGTCTATGATTCTATAGTTATAATATTCTGAGTATATTTAAAAGAAAAACTCTTTCGCCTCCTCACATTTATGGCTGGGGGTTTAAAAAGCCATCTAAGTCAATGGATAATGGGCTCCTTACCCTGTTAGGTTCCTGTGAAAATCCTAGCCTACATAAATTTGGACACAATTTGAAATCACAGCCACTGAGATTTTTATAACAGTTACAGTGACCACTGTTATACAGTCTAGTATTTCTATTCCAAGGAGGAAATTTTCAAAAGCACAAAGGGCAGACAGGTATTAATGGGGGCTTATCTTTGTGCCTTATAAAATCTCCCCCGAACCACAATATTTAGGGATATGTCATTTGTTCTGAGCTGACTACTGACACAAAAGTTTAAAAAAAAAACATTAACATATCTAGTATTTTTCTCTGCCTAATCTTGAGTAGAAGGGAAGAAAAATACCAATTCAGTTTTCACATAAGAATTCAGAAAGAAAATAAGAGTTTCAGATGTGTCATTTGGAAGGGTTCTCTTGCATAAAGCCTCCACCTGAGCTATTATTTGATTTACAGACTTTCTGGAAATACACTAAACTGTAAAGTCCTGCCAACACAGGACTTAAGAAAATGATAAAGCTTGCTGCTGACTGCATTTCTGCGAACACTGTTTAAAGGGGGCAGTTCTTCTAAGTCTCAGTCAGATGCTGTGCTCTGGAAGGTATTTTTGCAACTACTGAGCTTTGAAGCTTTGTACTTATTTCTTTGTAACTTTCAGCTATCTTGCCTTTTACATTCTGTACCTTGTTGTAAGATGGTTGAGCTTTGCAATTTTGTAACTCTCAACCACTTTGTTTTATAAGTTCAGAAACCTACTGTAAGCTTGGTGATTGTTGAGCCTTGCAACTTTGTAATCTCTCTAACTCTCAGCCACTTTGCTTGTAACTCCTCTAAGCTGCATCCTGTGATAAGAGTGTGTGAATGGAGCGTGTTTGGGGTGAGGGAAACAGCAAGACAAACACATGGAGCTAATTAGCCACCTCCTGGCTCCTAAAGACACAAGGCTGCCCTAAGCAAACAAAGGACAGGACTGAGGGAGGTCTGGCCATGCTCCTGGATGACCAAGGTGGAGGAAGGACCCCTTCATGAGTGACACAAGCCGCCCAGTTCCAATAAAAGAAGAGAACACATGGCAGAAGCCGTCCAGTAGGGATCCATGGATAGAGGCAAACCTTGGGAGTGAATATGCCTTGGCTCACTCTGCGACCCTTTGCCTGTGTAAGTGAGTGAGTGCCTGAGACACGAATGAAAGTGTGTGAATGGACTCATTTAGTGTGTCCCAATTTTATTTGGCCACGGAACCCTTTTAAACTTGAAAGAATTTTGCCGAACCCCTAATAAGGAACTGAAAAAGTAGACCACAAATAAGCAAGGATAATAATAAACAAATGCTAAACAAGGTCATGAGATCAACATTTAGTGTAATTGCACATTTTTAAAAAATCACATTAATTAATATTTATTATTATTTTTTTAAATCATAAAATGTTATTGTAATGGAATTTTCTCGCAGAAGCCTTATTTTCACTTTGCAGAACTCCAGGGTTCTGCAGTACACCATTTGGGAAACACTGGACTAATGAATGTGCACATCTGTGTTTGTGTGGGTGAGAGAAATAGCTCCATCCCCTTGAGTTTAACCTTATAGTGGCATTCAATGACAGCTCAATCCCCTTGAGTTTAACCCTGTAGTGGATTGTTAATTCCTCATTTAATAAATCCATGAGTGTAACCCTGGGCTGGTCTCCAGTGAAAACTGGGGTAACAGGTTCCACCTTGAATATAAATTACAGGCAGTCCCCGGGTTACGTACAAGATAGGGACTGTAGGTTTGTTCTTAAGTTGAATTTGTATGTAAGTCGAAACTGGTACATATTGTAGGGGAAACTCTA